AATTTTCACTTTTGCAACCTAGCAAAAGACTCCAGCAAGATTTCAATTTAGCAATTTGACCTTTTTCTTAGGATAGTGTTAGCAACAGCAAGCTAACACTTCCACCCTTAGAACAGGGGTGTTATTCCTTGCTCTTCCTACAGAGCACACCTAGAATCACAAAGAAAGTCTTGCTGCATGTGCAAGAATGAGTATCCAGATAATCTTCACATTCCTTTATTGAGCTGAAAGGTTTATTATTGTTTCTTTACATATATATATATATATATCTCTCAGGCTTCTTCACAGCTATGTCTAGGTGGGGAATCAGAATATGGTGCTATAGGAATACTCAGCAATAGCTGAACTGCAGATTTGCTCCATACTGGCCTCTTACAAAATACTTCTTTGCCATGACATAAGGATGTAATATTAGTTACATATTACAGTTAATAAAGAGAACATGTGAAACATTTAAATTGGATGCTGAGAAGTTACTATAAAATCCAGAAGTCTGCAAATATAGGAATATCCGCAAGCAGGACTTCTGAAGCTTCATTTCTATTTGTTTGCAGAATTCAAGTCCACATCTAAAGTCTTTAAGACAATAATACATATTCAAGAGCATTCACTGTGTATCTAAAGCAAGAATCCCATGTAATTGGGATATCTACTTTTAGAACAAATTAAGTTAGTGCTCTGTTAGAGGAGTTACATTATTTGTGTACAAAAATTTGTGTTAGAATAATTTGTGTACAAAAATAAGGTTTTATAGCCAATAACCTCCCTCACTATATTAAATTAAATTTGAACTGCTACCGTTTTATCTGGGTCTTCAAAAATTTCTCTTGCTTCTTCATAATTGCACAGTTCTTCATAGCATTCCCTTTCCAGATTATCAGCTGTGAATGCTTCAAAATCAAATCTGTTGTTCAGAAGATGTCGTCCAATGAATAAATTGGCCTCCCTAGCAGATGTGAACACTAATGAAAAAAAAAAAAAATCAAGTTGATTTAAAACAAGTTAGGAAGGCTAAATTTGGTATTTTTAAAGAATGGTAAAGATCTTAAAGGAGCACATTGGGATAATTTCTTTCCCTAGCATCTCTCAGCTACCTACAAGGGACAGAAATATTGAAGTCTACTCATAAAATGTCTTCTTCACTACTATCTTTTCTAGCTATGTAACGTAAAATAAACATATTTGCCTTTCTCATAAGCCATCTCAGCTATTCCTTATCCTGACCAAGAGAATTTGAGATGAGAACTGTTGGTCAAGGTTTGGTGTGAGCTCCTCTGGGATGTGAGCATCAGTTTTTACTGGAGCTTTTAACAACAAAGTAATTGTCACATAAAGCAGAATTCAGTCAGATCTAAAGTAAGAAACACCCTGACCTAGTGGAGGAAGGAGGCAAGGGTGAGGGAAGGTAAAACCAAAATATACATTTATCAGTATTCTGGTATCTGTGAGCACCAAATTTTATTTAGAGAATTTAGGTTTTAAATCTCATCACCAGATTCCTATTCATTCTACATTTGTTTTCTTTTCACAATTGCGGCACCAACTTTATGTAAAGGTGCCATATTGCCAAGTTGATTTGTTCTAAATTTGTCCATGATATGAATTTTACTGACAACATTCATTTCTGAAGATATGTACTTACTCTCTTCTTTTATGTTCCATGAGGCCTCATGGAGCAAGTTGTGAGGTGAGATTGCAGTGAGTGAAATTATAAAAGCTTTGGAATACAGGAATGTATTTCCTCACTAGGCATTTTCCATAGTCAAGTTTTAGCCTGCTCTTGCTACAGTTTCTTATTAAAAAAAAAAAAAAAAGTTATAGGGCAAACCTAGGTTTCTAGTGAAAGCCTAATCTATGTCCATGAAATTCAGGCTATTTGCTTAAACAAAATGACTAGAGGATTATTTTTGCAAGTGTAATGCAGAAACAGCATTGTTACATACCAAGCCAGATGGCTAAAAAAGGAGATGAGATTCGGGATAAAGTTATTCAGGTACAAATTAGCTTTGTGTTCTTGTTAGCCTGTTTGGCAAGATTATCACATTGCTCTGGAATTTTCACCCTAATATTTACTGTTAGACCTTGCAGTGGTGCCTCATAACACTTTGCTCCCTGAAAACTGAGAAAACTGCAGGATAATTTACATATTGATTATGTCTTTAGTATTATAGTGTATTTAAGGAACATGACAGCATATATTTATATAATTTGCATACTGCTACACTGTGTACTGAAGTAGCTACACATGTGCACATGCATTATTTTTTGTTATTCTAAAGCAATTGTAAGAAAATCTAGGCTTAAAATATTTATATATACCTAAAGAGTAGCCAGAGAAAAGGACTTAACAACAGCAACAAAAAAAAAACCCAAAAACCAGAAGCCAAAACCAGATCAAAATTCCCTCAAATCCACAAGTGGAAAGGGAAAAAGATTACATGGAAAAAAAAATATTATCAATATTCTTGGCTCAGTGCAAATTACAAAAATAACTTGAGTCTTCTGAAGCAGAGATCTTCAGTTTTGCCCAGTAGTGTTTCTCTCTGTACCATGAAAAGTAGTATTAGCTGTCCTTTGAATTAACCTAGAGAACTCATCCATTTTTTTTTAAAAAAATGGAATGCATAAGCAAGCTGCCTGGAGCCTAGAACCCTCAATTTCCAGGAATTCATGGATCATTTTTTTCTTGTCAAGAATTTTTATCCATTTATCTGCACTTTCTTCAATTTGTCAAGTATCTCTGTATCTCCATCTCCAAATTACTTGCTACCTGCTGATTCAAACAATGTTTGAAAAATGAAACAGATGGATTTGAATAGTATCCTAAATGTGAGGGACCTGGATGCAATTCTGCAGTCCTTGGTTTGATAAAATGATCCACGCAGTTTTAGGATGCCCAGCATTTAATTAAAAATGCAACCACACAATATGCTCAGTAAAGCAGCTCTGCTGGTAAAGGATGTTCAGAAAATACTGAAGGGCGACCTCTCAATGCAGGTACTCCAACCTTTGGCAACCGTTCTACTCGCTAAATTATTGGATAAAGGGTTTGGTCCTTTCTTTCCAACTCTGTCTTTAAAGGAGGAGTGCTTTGGGCCTATTGTGAGGAGAGAATTCTCACAGGAAAGAGGCAGCCTGACATTTTCTACCCAGAGCAATATGGATTTTAACAAATCATCACGGCAAGCATTTTTCTGCTAGCCATGGTTTGTGCTCCACACCGCCCTGAAGGAGCCTCCTGATCGATGTGATAACTTTTTAAAGTCTGTCTTAAGGTTTCAGCACTCCTTGGCCATTGAGAAGACCACACAGCTAAGTTAGAAATTCTTTTTTGAAGGAATTTTAAAATGTTTAGCATCACATGGTTTTGCTTCGAAGTGCTTGAGTTCCTCTGGGGAACATATTTGTTTTTATAAGAGTTCCTCACCACTTCTCTCCCTCCACAGGGAAGAACTCCAAAAGCAGCACTATGCTTATCTTTCCAGGTGTTGTAAGAAAATTTCCAGGAACTGAGAGAAAATATGAATTTCAAAAAACAACCAAATAAAGCCTTTCAAATACAAAGCAATTTCAGATATACAAACACAACTGTGATGTGTTCAAGTAGTACCAAAACAATACTGTCTTAACACAGCTTTCATACCTTTTGAATTTTAATGTTACTTAAAGGATTCTGGTTTTATCAACCACAATAATCCCAGAGGCCTGGAAAAAGTTCAGTTTTCCCAACCTGCACTTGCCACTAGATCTGATAAATACTTGATATTAACACCAAAGTCAATTATCAATAATTTCAGCAAAAGATATTAAAATAATCTGAAATTAAGCATAAAAGAGCTTAATTTTTTACATAAAGTAAAAAAAACCCAAACAAACTCAAACAACAAAACCACCAAAAAGAAAAACCAAGCCCAAAACAACAACTGAAGAAGCAAGCAAAGCAAAGTTAGAAGCAATTTTGGAAAGCACAGATTTCCACAAACGTGGAAAGCACAAGTTAAAATTAAGTTACCATCTTTCCATTCAGGTTGCTTCAAGTTACTTAATCTCCCAGGGCAGTGAGGAAACGCCAACATCATCACGTGGAGTTGACACAGCACCACCAAAAACGCGAACATGTCGGGGATCTGTGAGACAGAAACCGAGGTGAGTTAACAAAGAATGACAGCGCAATCCTCTCAAGTGGCAGCGATGAACCCTGAGTGAATCCTGTCAATGAAGTCATCCAGCGCAAGCTCCTACACGCACTCCAGCCTGATGGGTCCCTTGAAGACACCGAGCCCAACTGGTCCTGCCTGTCTCTTGCGGAGCTCTCGTTGTGTAACATCCACACAAAGGGGCCGCTCTGGCCGCCTCCTGCTCTCCTCTCCCGGCCAAACAGGGCGAATTGACGGGGAAAGAGCCCCCGCAGGGTGCCCCAGGTCGGCTCCGAAACTGCAGAGCTACGCCTTTGCTGCCGGAGGAGGTAATAAAACCTCCCCGACGGGAACAGCCACAAAGCCCGTTTTGTCAGAGGCACGGAGCAAACCCGTAACTCGGCACGGTGTCACCCGACACGGGTCCAGACACGATCGCTGCCCGAGGCGGGGACGTGCGACAGCCACTCGGGGCTGGCTGTGCCACCGTGCCCAGGGCACTGGCCACAACAGGACGAGCTCCCGGGAAGCGCCCGTGAAGGGGGAGCAGCTCATCCCGCTCCGCAGCGCTGCCCTACCTGTCCCGCTGCGGACAGGGCCCGGGCGGGGCGGCTCAGGGGGCAGGCAGCCCCTCACGGCCTGAGCGACGGGATCTCGATGGAGCGGGTGCTGCGACAGCCTCTCCCGGTGGATCGGGTCCCGGGACAGCCTCTCCCGGTGGATCAGGTGCCGTGACGGCCTCTCCCCGTGGATCAGGTGCCGTGACAGCCTCTCCCGGTGGATCGGGTCCCGGGACAGCCTCTCCCGGTGGATCAGNCTGCACCCGAGCCCCGGCTGGGGCCGCCCTGGGGCGGGGGCAGAAACGCCCCTGGAGCCCGGGCCAAGCCGGGTCAGGGGAGCGCTGGAGCGGCGCTGCTCAGGCTGTCCCTCGGGCTGTCCCTCGGACACTGCTCTGCACTTTGTTTCCAGACACCTGCCTGAGCTCTCAGCCCCCGCCCGGACCCCGGTGCGTAGGCAGCCGCTCCTTCCTGCTCCTGTAAACCCCTCCTGCTGAGCCCGGCTTTTCGTGGCCCGGGTTAATGGCGGTGCTGAGGGGCTGGTTGGGGTTTTGCTCCCCGGAGGAAAGCGCACGGTGTGCTGATGGCAGGCTGCCGGCTGAGCAAGAGCGGGGCAGGGTGTGCCTCCCCAGCTGCTGCTCCACGATTAAGTAAGCATTTACCCAGCTATCAGAGAGCCTTATCTCCACCAAACTTTCCCAGCCAGGCAGCTGAAAGGACCAGCAGTAGTTTTACACATGTGAAAACAATAGTTTTGTTGGTTTCTTTTTGTTTTGTTTGGATTTTTGATTTGTTTGTGCGTTTTACTCTTTGGGTTTGTTTGTTTGTTTTTGGTCAGCGATGGTAAACCTTAACCTTACAGGCTAGAAGGGGGAGAAGTGGTTTCCTGAAATGCATGAGGCTGGTTTGTACCAGCACACAGCCCTTCAGAAACTCCCATCACTCTCCTTCCCAGAGCAGAGGCCAGGCTGAGCACATGCATCTGTGCCTCTTTTGGCTTCTCCAAATGACGAGATAGAAACAATTAAGTGCTTTTTTTGCTGTAAGGATTTGTTTAATACTGCGTGCTGGGAACCTTAACTATGTGAAAAATTTTGGGATAGGCTGGGCTGGGTTAAAAGCTGCACACCAAAGAAACTGTCAGGATACACGAGCGGAATGTTTTTGCTACTAGGAAATCCAGGGACTGACAGTGATTTGTGCCTGTGCTTGTGTGTCTCCAGTAGTGATTTTGGATTGTATTCTTTATTTAAGTGCTGGAGTGACTTGTATATACAGAAGCAGGAAAGCGCAGAATGAGGGGGTATTGGATAACACCAGTGGAAGTGATCAGAAACTCCCTGGAGAAAACCAGAAGCTTCTGATGTGTGAAATAAGCAGAACTGTTTGGAGGAATGATGTCTGCAGTTAAATATTTACTTTATGACATCAACATGCTGCAGTTAAGAGGTACTTGATGAATATAACTTACAAGCTGGGATGACTCTAATGCTTTCTACCTGCTGGAGATCTCAACAGAAAATTCTGCATTCTGATTGTGTTTGTGCTTATAAACAGAGTGAAGAACTAAGATAAGAATATTTTAGAAGAAAACAGTATAGATTGTTTATTATCTAGATAATACAAAGGCGACAAGAATACTTAGCTGCTTCTTGTTGGAAGGCAGGAGAAACTACTATTACTTGTAAAGGACCTTCCAACTTTGTGTCATGCCCGTCTACTCAACCCTCACCCTGAGTTCCAAGCTGAGTGTCTCAGAGGGTGGTGCCAGATGTGAAATAGCTGCTGACAGCTCCAGTGCAAGGGCATGAATGTACAAGGACTCTGTGGTGCATTTAAGTGTAAGTAAAATACCTGCATGCCGGTGTGGGAATGCTTCTTTTGTGTCGTAACAAGAGCTTTGTGTGAGGAAACTCTGCTGTACAAGTAGCAGGTAATCTCCATTGTGTTATGCCAGCATTGTTAATTAATTAATCACTGTTAATAGAGGGGGAAAAAGATTTTTGGAATTGTTCATGTATGCCTCCTGGGGAGTGGATGTGACTCCATCCCCTGGCCCTGCCCATATCCGAGGAAAGGCTCCAGGTGTGGACTGGGAGTGATGGATCAGCCCCATCCAAACTCTGCTGGAACTCATCCCTGCTCTGAAGATGGAGGAGCAATGCAGAACTCTGCTGGGAGAAGCTCTCAGAGCTTTAACCCTCACCAATGGTTATCCAAATGTTTCTGACTGTGCAGCTTTTAGCAAAATATTTGTAAGGGTCTTCTGTCTGTGTGTGTGCAGGTGTGGTGGAGGTTTTTCAAAACCATGTGACACAAAACCACTACAGCTGATTTATTATTGAGATGTAACAAAAAAAAATATCAAGTTGTTATGCATTGGGAAAACAGGACAGCACAGTCCTGCTTTAGAGAAGACTGTGACTTTGTCCTGTGTGTTCCTCTGAGCTCAGCCTGGGTTTCCAGCTCTTGTTTTGAGGACTGGCAGTGAAATCCCCACTTGGGGTGGCTCCACAGGTAAATAGATGTGTGAAAGCTTCTGCTATAGATAATGACTAGAAGTGTGCTATGCAGATCATAGAAAACATAAAGATAAGTGAAAAAGGGTGCAGCAAATGTTTCAGATAAATAGAATATTTCCCATGAATATGCAGCTTTTAGCATGGCAGAGCAATAAGTACTTTTTGCATGTAACTTTCCTACTTGTGAAGTATTTTTTCAGGTAAAATAGCTTTGATTTAGCAAGCTGTGTGATGAAGATGCTCAGAAGGATGATATCTCTAAATTTTTTGCCATACTAGCTACTACACTTATTTACCTGTATTTTAGAACTTTACTTGTTGCCATGATGTTTGGTAAAATATTGTTGGAGAAGTTAAATGTGGCACTGTTGAATTGAATTGTTGAAATTGTGTGGATTCCTCACAAAAGGAAGATGATACCAATCTAAGGTGTTCATGCACTGATCATTTGATTTGGAATATACTGATTATTTTGCAGCAAATAAATAGTGCTATATTCATTTTTACTCTTCAGGTATTCACTTCAGTATAGTAAAGAATAATAGACTTAACTGATTTTTGATTAGGAGGACTTTGGATGTAAATATATTCTATTATAATTCAAGTAATAAATTCCTTACTGTTCAGTTTCTCATGCAGTATTTATCAGTTGATCTGATAATGAAATGACATAAATTTGTAATTGAGAATTACAAATCCTCTCATCAAGGACATGTGGAGCTGTGTGTATCTGGTCTCTTCTCTGCAATGGTTTATTTGATATCCTGAATCATATGGCATAGATTTGTCCTTTATACAAAACTATTTGAAATCCTTATGTTTGTTAACTAAATTTCTGTCCAGGTAGCTTGATTTAAGAGTAATGTTTTTTTGCTAGAGGTAATTGAATGTAACAGATTTTAATTATTTGTTTTCTACAATTAATATCAAAGGGCTTTGACTGTCATATTCAGCAATAAAATGTCAACAAGCAGGTGAACCATATCAGTATCTTGAAGAAATCTGTGTTCCATTCCACACACTACATGCAGAAGGGAAGGGTTTTTCTAGATCAGGCCAGATTTGAAAAAGACATCTTGTTTTTTGTGTACTCCCTGGTGTCCTTTTCATCTTCCTGTAAAAATGCTTGGTTTTTCAGTTAAATTGGTTGATCTAATACAAGATATCATAAATTATGTTGTTGGACAAATCTATCATCAAGTAAATCTTTATTTGGAATCACCACTATTTTAATGACACTATAGTAATATTTTAAATGTGCCTTGAATTCAGATACATAAATCACTTAATTTTTAGCTAAGGCTATTGTTTCTTCCCAACAAGACATGATGGAATCTTTTAAGTGTTCATCATGAGATTCTTTACAATTAAAAAGTTGAATTTAGCTGATTAACTTCTGCTGAAGTTGTTGCTTTTCTCCTTCAGAAGACTGCTAGTGATTTTTCCAACTGAAAAAATAAAATTCTGGCACAAATAACCTATGGCAGTGTAGGGGGAAAAGCAAGAAACATGAAAAAAAGAGGGATTTAGTAGCAAAATAACTAGGATTTTAGGGACAGGTTGATAGATTAATGTCAGTTGTTAAGTTTCAGAATGAAATTTAAGTTTCAGGCATGATTTTTAAAAAATATTTTAAGAAAGGCTATACATAATTTTAATATTTGGTTATTAACCACTAGGCTGTGAGATCATTCGTATTGGTCAGAAATAACCACAGACACTTGTAGTAACACATAAATAACAAAAGTAATTATACATGCAATTAATAATGTGGCTACTGTCATTATATTTGAACCTGTATGGGAAAGTTATTCAACTAAAAATGCTTACAGAGGGTCGGTAAAACCATTTCAGGGTTTAACTTCACACACAATTGCCTTTGTATTTATTTGGAAGGGAACAGAAATGTCACCTCTCTGATTTCAGTAATGGGCCCGGTGCTGTCAGCTCCCTGTGCAGGCACTGAGAATGCTGCTCATCTAACAGGATTAAAATTCTGCATTATCACTTGCTCAAATTTGTTTTAGATGCAGCAAATTTAATAAGACCAAACTTTTTTTTTTTTTTTTTTGCCATGAAAAAGACTATTAGGTTGTGAGACTTCCACATGTGAGACTTCCACATGTGAGACTTCCACAAAATGGTTTCTGGTGACCATAAGTTGGTTCATTTGAAACTCTGCTCCCAAATACACGCAGGGTTAAAAAAAAATTGTCAAAACTTTCTAGCAGCCTGATGAAAATCTGCTTCTGGCTTTTCTTGATACTTCTTTGTTGTGTTTTGGTGAGCTACTTTTTGATTAGTGAAAGGAACATGTTTGGGTTTGGTATTTAAGGGCTCTTGGCCTCCAGGGGTGGAACAGCCTCGTCCCTGAGTGGAGGATGTGGAGGAGCTCCCTGCTCAGTGCCAGGACCAGAGGCAGCTGCTACAAACTGAAACACAGGAGATGCCTTCTGAGTGTAGGAAAACTCTTTTCTTCTGCTGAGGAGGTGGCACAGGCTGCCCAGAGAGGTTGTGGAGTCTCTGTTGGTGGAGATACACAAAGCTGACAGAAGTGTCCCCACTTGGGGGTGGGATGGACTCAATGAGTGACCTCCTCCCAGCCTCAGCCATCCTCTTATTCTGTGATACTGTCTTCTAGCAGAGCCCAAGCCCTGATGTTTCCACTTTATCTCAATTTTCTGAGGTCTGGGGTTTCTATTTAGCTCCTTAGCTACTTCTGTTGCATTCCCTTGTTTGCCTCAGTAACCCATTTCTCTGTGGAGCTGAGATCTTGGACAATTTTCTCTCCTGGCTCACAGTAGAGGGAGCTGTGTGGTGGCCTCTCAGCTTTCTCCTGGAACACTTTTATTTAAAATTTGGAACATTCCGACTGAGGATCTGTTACCAAAGCAGAGAAGACAAAGCCATGTTCTGGAAAGGTTTCATCTTCTAACTAAATCGAATTTGTGAGTTGTTTGTAGGTGAAGTGATGTAGCAGCAGCTTTGGCTGTGTTTTAATCCTGCTCAGCTGCAGCAGCAATGCAGCTCCTGACGTGCACTAATGCAAAAGATATTGATGTTTCTATTATGCTTGGCACTTATAGCAGTAGCTGTGGAGATGTATTTGTAAACTTTGTGTTTGTTGCTGTGATACAGGCAGTTTCTATTTGGTATGGATTTAGCTGATCCACGAGGAACTTGTTTGTGATTGTGGGAGAGTTGCTTGAAGACTTAGGGTGAGAAAGGGATTTTAAAGTTTTCATTAGATATGTAATCTTAAAAATTCATCTTATTTGCAGTGGTGAGTAGAAGACACCTTTAACTGAGAGAGGTGCTTTTATCTGAGCAGATGAAATGGTTATTAGGGTTGATAATAGATCACATTTTTACTGTTTTCCACGTATATTTCTTTTCCCTGCATATTGTGCTGTTCTTTTTATATTGATTACAGTTTCTGGAAAATGACTAAGAACATCACACCCGTATATTACTGATTTTGAAGAAGTAATCAAATGAAAGTTTTGGGTGAAAAATGAGTGAATTCCACACACATGAGGAAAAGCCAACACTGGTCTGTTGAGGATGCAGTCATTTTTTGCTGTGTTGTAAAACCTGGTTCTAAAAACACTTTTAGACTAGACAGAAGTTTTTCTGAAAGATGTTATTAAGATCAGTGATGACAAGCTGCCTAAATAGTCTCTTTGCCTAAAAAAATATGCAGAAAATTTAGTTCAGCAGTCTCCCTACAGAGAGTGTTCCAGCAAGGAGTAGTGATACAAATTCTGTCCCTTTTTGCTTTATGAATCCCTCCTTGTTTGCAGCAGGATAGTTTTAGTCACCACATCTCAGGTGTTTATACAATTCTTGACATTTCTATCAAAGGCAAAATATTTCACAGTGGATGCCAAACTCTAATGCTTAGTGAGAATCCCTTCTGGGAACATAATCTGTATTACTCTGGGCAGGTGAGCAAGCAATTAATTGACCTGTGCTTTAGGAGAACCTCATGTTGTCCCATTCATACAAAGCTGTTTGGTGTGGATTGGAGAAGGTTACGGAGCCCTGGCTCAGGATGGTTTGAGGATACCTTCTAGAAAAGTCTTTATTTCCTTTTTTTCTTTTTTGTCTGGAGATTGCAGAGTTGAACATGAAAAGTCTTCTGGAGTTTCCTTACTTCTGGATCTTGGGGAGCAATTTTTTTTTTTAAATTTAAAAAGATGTCTCGGAAGAAGGGACTTAATGTGGTTTTGCTGTGTGATGTGGAGGATGGCATGGCCTTCAACAGCCTCCTCCATAAATGCATGTGGCAATTCAAACAGCAATAAACAATTGGAAGACCCTTCAATCTTTCACATTGGAAGGGGTTTCCACAACAGAAGGGGCCATGTTAATCGTGGTGTGGTTCATATGTTTTCTTCTCCAATGAACAGGGGTTTTGGTGTTGCGTTCTTTGATTATTTCACTCATTTCCTCAAGTACTTGAGGTCTTGTCTGCTACTTAATTTTTATCCAGACTTCCTTTTGTTCTGCTTCTTCATGCTCCCCTTAAAAGGAGCTAGAGTTGAAACTTTTTTTGCCACTACACATTAATATTAAATTGTTTCTCTGGACAAAGATGCATTTTATTTTGTCTTTGTAAATTATGATTAACGTATTCATGAAGATGCTCTGTGGACTCACTCAAATTTTTTCTTAATAAGCTAGTGATCAAGCAGTAAATTATATAATCAAGTGAATAACTTGTTCTTCCTCTTTTCCCAGGTGCATTTTGCAAGTTTTTTTTTGGCAGATTTGAAAGAGAAGAGCTATTCTACTGGAATGGATTAAACAAGTGGGTTGAATCGTGGTGTGTGAATGTTTTTGAGACAGTCTTGCTTTTGTTCAACATGAATCTTGCATATTTAATCCCTATACCCTTTGTGCCCGTAATTAAGATTGTTTGTTTTTCTAATTAACAAACAGTAACTAACTACTATTAACTTCTAGTAAGGATATCAGCTGAATTTCCCCCCATTGTTTAATTATTTACTGTATCCTACTTTTCTTTTCATACCACAAGTTTGCGATTATAGTAACTGCAG